AATACAATTGATCAACAACCAGAGAATTGCAAATCAAAACTACTCACTTTAGTCAGAATGGCAATCAAGAATACAGGCAACAGGGCTGGGGAGGTGGCTCAAGTGGTAGCATGCTCGCCTGGCAAGCGTGCAGCTCGGGTTCRATCCTCAGCACCACATACAAAGATGTTGTGTCCGCCGAAAACTAAAAAATATATATTAAAATTCTCTCTCTCCCTCTCTCTTAAAAAAAAAAAATACAGGCAACAATAAATGTTGGGAAGGATGTAGGGAAAATGGTACACTCATAGATTGCTGGTGGGACTGCAAATTGGTGCAACCACTATGGGAAGCAGTATGGAGATTTCTCAGAAAACTTGGAATGGAACCATTTGACCCAGCTATCCCACTCCTTGGTTTATACCCAAAGGACTTAAAATCAATGTTTATAGCAGTCAATTCACAATAGCTGGACTATGGAACCAACCTAGGGGTCCCTCAATAGATGAATTGATAAAGAAAATGTGGTATATATGCTCAATGGAATATTACTAATAGTGAAATTATGGCATTGGTTGGAGTTGGAGAATAGCAGGCTAAGCAAAACAAGCCAATCCCACAAAACCAAAGGCCAAATGTCTTCTGTAATGTGGATGCTAATTCACAATAAGGCAGGGGGCACTAGGGAAGGATAGCGTTACCTTAGATTAGGTAGAGGGAAGTGATGGGAGGAGAGGGAAGAGGATGTGGGCATAGGAAAGAGAGTAGAATGAAAGGGACATTATTATTATATGTATCTATGTGACTACATGACCAATATCATTCTGTAACATGTACACATGGAAAAATGAAAAATTCTATCCCATTTGTGTATATCAAAGTGCATAAATGCATTCTGCTGTCATCTATAACTAATTAAAACAAATTAAAATATTTTAAATTCCTAAAAAAAAAATTGTTATGTAGTCATTCTCAAAGATACAAAACTTGGCCCACAGATGAGTTAAATGAAAACATCCCTGCTTCTATGGATTTCAAACAACTCCAAGGAAACTAGTATGTTAAGAATTTTATCTAAAATATGGAATGTATTTTTGGAAATTAGCTATCTCYTGTCCATGACCTCACCATTAAGTCATGTGTTTAACAAATCCAGACCTTACACTTATCAGCATGTCTACTGGACTAGTCCCCCTGAAGTTATTAAGCAGAAACCTGGAGTGTCCTAGTTTACATTACCTTTTGTCAAGTTGAAGATCCAGCTTCTAGGAAAGGACTCAGGTTGGGGAAAGGAAGGAGGGAAGTGAGTAGTAGGTAGGAAGGTAGAGCCAAGGTTTCTCCTCCCTTTGGGAGTCTTTGTACAGAAAAAGCTGAAAATGACCCAGGGCTCCAAACATGTAACATGGAGGTTTAGTGTTCCATGTTGGGAACTTGGCTGTGGAAAGTGTTTTAAATACACATTAGCCAGTGTCCTTTAGCTTTGTACTCTAACAAGATAAGTCTTAAACATTCTGTTCCAAAAGGCAAAATGATATTTATGTGTGTATCAGTGAACTGGGGTGGGGAAATATTCTCACGTGGTCAAGAGAAGGTATATGGAAATCTGTTGCAGTGTACTACTAGTGACAAAAATACTATATTCAGTTCTTTACTGAATACAGTAGCCCTACAGGTCATAAATCACTTTTTTTGCCACACCCACATCCCCACCTCCACCACCATGGGTTCCATGGGAAAAGCAGTTGTCAGTGCTTCACATTTCAGCAGTGGAGACTTGGCTTRTCTTTGCCACCAATCTAATGAGCAGAAAACTGATCACAGTACTTAAAAACTGGGAGGCCAAGGAAGGAAGATCACAAGTTCTAGACTAGCCTTAGGAACCATTAGGACCAAAAGGGGAAGAATCCTAGACCAAAGCCAGGAGGCTCAAAATCTGGCAGGAACAAACGGGGTATATCCTTGATGACATCACAAACCTGACATCAAGTGATGCCTGTAACCAGGAATCACCTCTGGTTAGTTGCATCGGTTAGCTTAGGTTACTCTTCATTTACAATTAAGAGTCTAAAGTTATAAAGCACACACAGGCATGGTGAAGTAAAGAAAAGGGTGGAATTTAATCTTTATTTACAGGACACTGTAAGATAYGAAATTCCACATAGAAATAAGAAACCCATTTAGAGGACAAGTTTCATACAGTATGTACAGTTTGGAACTGTTCAAGTATAGTTTTGTTGTAAAAAGTGCTACAATAACAAACCACATTTAAAAAAAGCTCTTAGTAGAGAAACAGTAAGACAAACTTATACCGAACATAGTACACAACAAACTTTATGTCTCAGCTGTACAGCCTAGAAGTTAAAGGTCCCTGGAGTCCCATCCTGAACTTGAAAGGTATAGCCTTCAGAGGTAGTTTCTGGCACAACATTTTGATCTTCCTCTTCCTGAAAATGTTAAAAAAACAACAATACTATAAACAACAAACATGGCACACTTCTAAGCAATAGCTGTCTAAAAGTCTGCACTTATTCTTTTGTTTGTTTTTGTGGTACTGGGGATTGAACCCAGGGGTGCTCTGCCACTGAGCTACATCCCCAGCCSTTTTCATTTATATTTTGAGGCAGGGTTTCACTAAGTTGCCCAGGCTTGCCTTGAACTTGCAATCCTTCTGCCTCAGCTTCCTAAGGATCCAGGTTTAGAGGTGTGCACAACCACACCAAGCAAAGAAGTGTACATTTATTCCTAAGATTTTCATGTGCACATTTCACCTTTATTCATGCACCATATTCTAGTATCTGACACAGGCAGGAAGAGGGCTGTTAACACTTGGCCAATTCATTAGTGCCCAAGAGAAGGTTCTGAATGGGCTAAGGAATGCTGCTACAGTGACCGAAAAGTTGAAATTTCTCTTCTCCTTCCATCACTTTTTAGTAGGCAAGGAAACAACAATTTAGAACGGCCCTGGGTTTGGCCCACTTCTCTATCAACTTCCACAAAGACATCCATAAACTTAGCCTTGGGATATTCTAAGATTTCCAAGCCTGTTCATTAGAAAGTAAACTAGCAAATTGAATAATACCACCATCAAGCCAAATATTAGAGAAGCAAATAAATACAGTAAATCCTACAAACACTGAAGTTCGCTCTACTTAACAAGAACACAGGGCTCATTTTAAAAAGTGTGAAGGCAAAAAATCTATGGGCTTGACTTTACATGTGTATTTTCTAAGTTATTAATATTACCACCATTACTTACCTCTACTGAAAAATACTTCTCAATCAAGTTTAAGGAGGCCTTGTACACAGACTCATTTTCATGGTTCTGTAGAGCTTCAATTTTGTCCAAGCCTCCACATTCTTCAATCATTATACTCAATTTCTCAGTTTCACCTAGTTTCTCAGCAGCCTAAAAAAAATTCAAAGTTTACTGTCCTATACTCTTGATTGTTGTTTCAATGCCAAAAACAATATCCATATTTTCATTCTAATATGTAGCAGACAGAAATAAACCCTTAACAGTTGCTTCAACAACACTGTGATAGTTTTATGTCCATTTTACATTTTCTGGAAATTTTCAAGGTGATCAGATCTCTTAGCCTACTACTGATTGTAGCTGTCAGCCACAGAGATCTTAGAGATCTTAGATTGCAACTTTTTCYGTACATCAAAATCACATGGGCAATTACTAAAGCAATACTACATTCGAGTTCAATCAGTCTGCACTGGAAACAGAATTATTCCTCTGTAAAAACACCCTAGATAATCTCAAAGTGTAGTAAAGGTAAAGAATCACTGTCTATGGACAAACATGGCTTATCATGGATGTGCTAAAAACAGATTTCTCTGATAGGAATATTACTTGCGATCCTCCTGCCTCAGCCTCCCAAGTAGCTGGGATTATGGGTAGGGCATATCACATCAGGCAAAGTTAAATTTCTTTCAAAAGTCCTCAATTTTTAGGAGATAATTAAATATACACATGACTTAACTGATTTGCTTCAAAATAATTTTGGAATTTTAGATGAGTGATTAGGAACACTGGCCACATACTGATGAATTGTTTACATGCAGAGACTGGAACACTAGCATTCTTTGTTCCAGACTTTACTCTATATGTAAAAATCTCCAGAATCAGAAGTATAGAAGTTGATGAGTAGTACTTAACTACCATCAATTACTATGACAAAGTGCCAGATGCTGGAATGCTTGGTTGAATTAGAGATGGAATCAAAAGAAAAATATTAGATAAATAAATCATTCAAATTTGATTTCACCAAAATGTGGTATGGATAATCTCCCCTGAAGAACCTGACTTTAAGACAAATACATCATCCTTTTCCCATCTCCTTTCTAKCTCCTTGTTCTATGGTGGTGCACATGTATAGTATAGTCCCAGCTACTCAAAGGATGAAGCAGGAGAATGGCTTAAGCCTAGGAATTCAAGAGTAGCATTGGCAAGACACCTCATCTCTTCAAAAAAGAGAATGTGGCTCCACGTCAACAGGCTTTCTGTATACTGAGTATACTTAGCTGCCCCCACCAAGTCTAAAAGTAAAATGATCATGACAAAACAAACTCAAACAAACACCACCTTGTTAGAACTTACCTGAAAGATATTTGAAATGGCATCCAGAATAACCAGAATAATTTTGCTATCTTTCGCAGTTAAGAGGTTCATCAATGGTTCTATTATGCCACAATGAACAAGATACACGATCTGTTCAACTGTCCCACCGCTTGTATAATTGGTCACAGCCCATACAGCTTCCTTCTGTGTCTTAAAATCTGCCTGATAAACATAAAAAAAATGGTTTTGCTTCAGAAAAGTCAAAAGAAATAAGATATCACAAAAACAATGCCTAAAACTACCCAACTGGTTCTATCCAACCTTGAGTGAAAAGGGTTAATTTGGCTATTACTCAGTTATACAACAATGTTCTTTAAGAATCTTGCTGTGGGACTGGGGTTGTAGCTCAGTGGTAGAGCACTTGCCTAGCATGTRKGAGGTGCTGGATTCAATCCTTACCACTACATAAAAATATATAAGTAAAATTAAAGGTATTACATCCATCTACAACTAAAAATTAAATTTAAAAAAAAAAAAGAGAGAAAGAATCTTGCTGGGCCTCGTGGTACAGGCCTGGGATTCCAGTAACTTGAGAGACTGAGGCAGGAGGATCACAAGTTAAAGGCCAGCCTCAGCAATTTAATAGAGCCTATCTCCCCAGGGGAAAAAAAGAAAGAAAAAGAAACAAAAATAAAGATCTGGGGCAAAGCACTGCTGGGTTCAAATCCTAGTACTGGAAAGAAAAAAAAATCTTACCAAGCAAGCCTGCCTATAAATACCAACAGTTATCCGATTAAATCCTAAGATTTTGGAGCTTAGGTTGTGGCTCAGTGGTAGAGCACTTGTCTAGCATGTGTGAGGCACTGGATGGATTCTCAGCACCACATATAAATAAATGAACAAAATAAAGATCC